AATTTTCTATATTAAATAAATAATAAAAATAACTGCTTATTAGAAAGAATCTTTTACTTATAGCTTTTTTTTAATTTAAATCTTTATAAACCTCCCGCTTACCTTTAGTTCCTTATATTTACTAGTCTTTAATTAAATAGTATAATATATAAGAATAATAGTATAAATAATAGTAAGTTAGTATTTCTTCTATTTAAGATTAAAGGTTAAAATCTCTTAAATATATTAAAAGTAATTAGTAAAGTTATAATTATTATTCTAATTATATTCTATAATATATTTATTAAATATAGATATAATCTATTTAGGTATACTTATTTATAAGAAGGTATAGACTTATAGCTAAACTATAGAACTTTTATAAAGTATTACTATAGGCGACTATATTTTATATAGCTTTTTAAAATTATTTATATAAAATATACTACTGCTTAGCTAACTAGAGAATATCTAAATATAGCTTTTTTAAATAATTATAAAGAGAAAATAAATAATAGTCTTTAGCTTAGCCGCTAGTCTAATAATATATTTAATATATACTATTATACTGTAGAAGTACTAGAACTAGTCTAATTAAAAGAAGATAAGAGAATCTATAGAATATATAAATTTAAGCTTATTAGCTATCTTTTAAAGAATCTCTATAAAATTAAATAGGAGAATTTAATATTTAGTATTTAGCACTTAATCTAGATTTTAACGCTTAGAATTAATATAATTATATATATAAATAGAATATATCTTTAAGTAGGTCTATTATATTAATAGCTATAGGTCCTTTTTATAATTATTAATAATCTTTTATATAGTCGCAATATAAATACTATAACTATATTCCTTTATTTACTGCTATAAATATTATATAATATAGTTATATATATAGATAGTATAAAAATAATTAAAAAAGATTACTACTTATATTATAATATTAAGTTTATAATAAAAAGAATTTCTTAATATAAGTTTAATAAATTATTCTATAGTAATTTATTAATAGATATATTAAGCTATATACTTACTATAATAAATAATTAATGCCTTAAAATATATTAATTAAGGCTTATTTAAATCCCTAATAAGAGGCTATTTATTTAATACTAAAGTCTATTAGATAAGTAAAAAAATATCTAGATTTATATAAAGCTAATAATAATAATATAAATAATCTTAGGAATTAATATAATATAGAATATAATATAGTAATATATATTAATTACTAGTAACTATATAATAGCTAAAATAATTAATAATTATAATTGCCTTTTACGCTATAAGTAATAAGATAAGCTTTTTATTTTAAGCCTATTACTATAGAAAGCTAAGCTAAATTATTTTAAAGAAATAAAAGTACGCAATTATAATTATAGAAAATATCTAGATTACTATATTAATAATAGGTTTAATATTTATTAATATAAGAGAAATTGCTTATAATTACAAATTATAATAGAGGTATAAATAAAAAGACTAACCTTATAAGAGATTTCTTAAATAAGATCCTTCTATATATTTGCTTAATAGAGAAATATATTAATAAAATAAATAATCGGCATAAAGGCTATTTTATAATAAGATTCTAGCCTAGTAAATTTATCTATAAAAATTATAAACTATTATTCTATTTATAAACTATATTAATTACTTCTTATCGCTTATCTTAACTATACTTATTTATACTAATAAGTATAATTATTATAATTAATACTAGAGGAGAATTTAAATAAAGATAAGTAAATTTCTTTCTATAAGATATTCTCTAGCTTACCTAATCTTAACCCTATTATTTTATCTAAGGTATATTAATAGCAGTTCTTAATTAATTAAGTAGTAGAGATAAATAGCAGTAGGCATATTATTAATATAGTAAGCCCTTATATAACTATAAGACCTTACTTATTAAACCGGATAATACGCTTCTGCATATTACTTACTTAATAGAAAAAAGAAGTAAATAAAGACTAAAATAAATTTTATTAAAATAAAATACTTCTATTAAAGCTCTAAGCTAAAAGCTAATATTTTTAAACTAGGTATAGCTTATTATATAAAAGATAAATAAAATAAGAGCTTTATAGAACTTTATCTACTATTTTATATTAAAATAATACTATAATTTTACTAAAAGAAAATAAAAGCTTATATTATAAAATAACAATTAAGACTAATAAAAAGATATATATAAAGTTACTTAACTCTCTAAAGCTATAGTTAATTAATTACTTAATAATATTTATAAAAATTTCTTTCTCTATCTTAAGGACTAAGATAATAAATATTTAATAGATATATTTATACCTTATTAAAAATAAAGTACTAGACTTATGCTAAGCTAGTCTTTAATAAAATTAAGGCCTTATAAGAGTTAATATTCTTTCTTTTTAATATTATACTAATATAATAATTAAAAGAATTTAATTTAAATTTATTTTTTTTAATTACTTACCTTATTACTTAGAGAAAATTACTTTCTTTTTATATATTTTATATTATATAGCTTTATTATAGCTATATTAAGTAAGCGCGCCTTAAAGAAATATATTAATTTAAAGAAGAATAAATTATAATATAAAAATAGTTATCTATATTAATATATTAATAGAGATTATTACTAGCTATAGAATATAAATAGAGTTTCTAGAATATCTCTAGTTTAAATAAGTAAAGATATATTAATATTAAGAGATCTCTAGTAATAATCTAGAGACAGTTTAATAAATATATATATATAGATATATTATATCCTTTAGATTAGCAGATATTATTATATCTATATTACTAATTTGCTTATTTTATTATTTTTCTTTTTATTAAAGTAAAGTTTTTCTCTTTTTATTAAAAGAAAATTCTCTTCTTTAATATAAGTAATAGGTCTAGCTACTATAATAATTAAACTAGATTAACTAGTTTTATTAATATTTAATATTTATTATAGTATTTAGTTTATTAAAAAAATAAACTAATATTTAAAAAGATTAAATTCCCTAGACTACTATATTAATACTATAAATATAATACTTAGAGAAAGAATAATAGCTTATTATATTAGCACTATAAGTATAATACTTAGAGAGAAAGAATATTAGCTTATATAGTAAATAGAATATATATTTCTATATATTACCTATATATTCTAAGGTCTTAATTTTATTTTAGTAAAATTGCCTAAAGATTTTCTTAATATAAAATCTCTAATATAGTTTACTATAGTTAGTAATAGTAAGTAAGTAAATAATTATAATTAAAACTATTATAATAGTTAATAATAGTAAGTAAATAACTATAATAAAAACTATTATAGTAATTAATAATAATAAATAAATAATTAAGCACTTAATAATAAAAACTGCTATAATAGTTAATTAAAAGTTAATTATAAGCTCTTAATATTAAAGATTTAAAAGAGTTTAATTTTAAGGATAATAATCTAAATAGATTTAGTTTTAAGGCTAAAAATTAATATTATACTTAAGTAATCTATTTCTGCTATTTTTATTTAAAAATACTTAATTTTAATATTAAATATTACCTTAATAATATAAGTAATTTAAAATTTAATTAAACTAATATAATCTATAATACTAACTTTATTAGACTTATAAAGATTAGCTCTATAGAATATTATTATATAATTAAGTAAAGTTAGGTTTTCTTTACTAGTAGATATTATATAAAATAAAAGTCTTATTATTCTAAATATTAATAATAATAAAACTTAAAATTTAATTAAATTACTCTTTAAAACTAAGCGCTTTAAATATATTAATATATACTTTTACTATATTTATAATATATTAGCTTAAGATATAATTAATATAAAGTATATTAACTTAGTTAATAATTTAACTAATAGCTTTATTAAAAGGCTTTTTATATTAAAATTTAAAATTTAGCTTAAATAGCTTAGCTTAACTATAATTACTTAATATCTCTAAATTACTATTTATTTAATTATTTAAACTATTTATTTTTTAGTTATTATTTATATTTAGACTTTTAGCTAGTTTTTAATATTTCTCTAATATTTAATATAAGGGAAGATATTAAAACCCTCCTCTAGTAATTTATATTAAGCGCCCCTTTATACTAGTAATTATATAACTAGGAGATTCTATATAAGACTTACTAGCTTCCTAGTTAGTAATTAAGCAAGCTTCTTACCGCTTCCTTTAATACTTCTCTACCGGCATTAGTATCGCTACGCCCCGCTACTCTAACACGCGGGAATACTAGCCGAAGTAGGCTTCTTCGTCTGTATAGAGATCTACATTGCGATTGATGTTCTGTAGATTTAGCCGGCTTCGCATTAGCCCTACAGAATCTTATAGACTTAGGAGGACTGTCGAATGATAAGAATGCCTAGAGTTATAATTGGAACGATATTAAGAGGAAGTCTGCATCCTTCTCTTTTCTCTAGATTGATTTATTAAACTGGACCTTCTTGCTCTCGGTAATCTATAGTATACTAACTTGAACGGTAGATGCGTAACAGCGTGTCTGCAGGGCCTAATAGATAGAATGGGTTCCTCTGTAATGATACTCATTCAAGAATCATTCTGCTAATCATGTACTATTTTATGAGATTGTCTGTCTAGTTTGAAAAACTTCACAATTTCCGGCTTCCCGGTTTTGCCGGTTTTGCCGGTATCCCAGCGCTTGCACTCGAATCCCAAGAAAGCAATAGGCGTAAAATATCTGGCGCATCAGGGGATGATCGCCATGGAGCTCATACGGGAATGCTTGTTGAACATATCACTATCTGCTATCCCGGTCAAGGTTTAAGCACTGGCACGGTCATCTCTTTCTAGGATTCGGTCACAAGAACCGGATTACACTGATCCAGAGCCCTGAAAATCGAATTTTAAGATCTTTCTTTTCTTTTATTTTCTTCGTCTCGTTATGTAATCTTCGAACGCCAACCTTCGGTTCTAATACCGCCTGCACTCCAGCCCTCGGCGCAGGATCTGCGAAAGTTGCGTACAGACCCGATCCCGCCCACCTAGATACGCTCGTGATTTAGAACCTTTTGCGTCCATTGAAGCGTAGAGCAAATAAAAACAGCAATGTGACATAACAGAACTGATACTTGGCAGTACAGCACGGACCGTCCGGCTTTGGGGCTATAGATACACTTGCTAGACATATAGAACGGATATAATGCTTCTTTCTCCATCCAGCTCAGCTAGGTCATATCGGCACTTCTTACAGAGGCTTTATCACTAACCATATCTTCCCTTACATAATAACTATCACTAACTCCAATACTTGCAAGATAACAATGCCACACTATTATCTATACGTCCCGTCTCCATCGGAGCAGGGGACGCTGAATCTCCGTGACCTCTACGTTGCGGGGATGTCGGCCTTCTCTGGCTCATCTTTCTCTGATCCTGGTATGTTATCAGTTCTCATGTAAAGAGAAATAAATAAGAATATTAACTCCGCACAGACTCCCTGCCCGAAGTCTGCATACTCTGCTTCGAACGCCTGGACAAAACATCTCCGTCGTCGTCCTACCGCCAACTTCGCTGCAGCCATATATTCCACTTGCCCTGCATCGATGACTGGTTATGCAACAGGGATGCTAGTTGTCCGTTATGTCGGGAGAGGTTCTATCATCTCCGAGGGCCGCGGATAATGTATTCGCAGTCTTCGTTACCGATTACGCGACCGGGTACGACGGTTGGATTGAGAAGAGGGCAGCCAGAGACACATTATGTGAGGAGTATGATCGAGTCCGTGAAGAAGTGGGCGAAGAAGAAAAGAAGGGAAGAGAGGACGGCGGACACAGAAGAAGAGGTTCATTCGGAGAGTTGACCAGGGGCATATGCGGGTCCATTATAGTTAATTCTAGTGTTTATCGGTTGCTTTTATCGGGTGTTGAGTATATGTGAATTGTTTGGATTACGGAGACTCTATTGATCTATATTGGCAACAGCCAAGAAACTAGCCTGTATCCGAAGACCATATCTAAGTATTTATACAAATGGGTAGATTCATAAAGAAAAGAGTGGGTATAGCTTATATGACCCTACCGTCATACAAACAGACATATATACTACAAACTTATCTATCCGACAACTCTGTATTCAACAAACATTATTCACATAGAACAACATACGTAAGAGACCACTTCTCCAATTTCTCTCTCTCCAGACCAAGTCCACAAGTCAATATCCAATATCTAATCCTTAAATCAAAATGGAAACTCAAACCATCCCATCCGCTGCACTCCCCACACTCCCTCTTCTCTGCTCATGTAAACTCGCCCTCCGCTCCGAATACACACTCCCCTCCCTTCGCCCGTCACGCTCCATAGTAATTGTCTCCGACGGGTCACTCTCAGCCCTCAAACTCCCCTCCTCCGTAACTTCCCTCTGAATATCCACTTCCTCTTGCGCTTCCTCCTGCGCGCCGAGTTGCGCGTCCGGCTGCTCTTCCGGCGGAATAACGAATACCGGTCCTGGAGCCCACCAGTGCAGAGGGTACCGGCGTCGCCCGACATTATTGATAACCAGAGCCCATCCGAGCATGATTAGCGATGAAGCAAGGACCGTCGGGAGGTAGCGCCAGGATAGAGTGACGATCTGGGATTGGACCGCGGCGTTGAGGCCTGTTGCGCCGGCTCTGCGTTCTATTAGTCTACTTTCTTTTCCGATCCCATGAATGTGAATTCGACATAGAGGAAAAAGAGAAAAAGGAAAACACAAAGGACATACGGCGGATGCGCCGTTCCCGTAATAAGCATGACCAATAAGGAGGTCGCCATCGACACACCTCCATTAATAAACGTCGACGGATGGAAAGCCACGTTATCCAAATACCCATGATAGCTTCCATTAAGCACAAACAGCCTCGTGATCGCCGTCCCCACCAGCGCGGAGAGGAAATGACCCAGGACGAAATTGCGTGGCTGCGCCACGGGGGACTCGATCACGCCGAAGAGGAGCACGGCAGACGCGCCGAAGGAGGTGATTATCGTCGGGGCGTGGTAGACGTCGCGGAAAGCGGTGCTGGTGGACATTATGGCTTCGATGAGGAGGATGCCGATGAAGGCGCCAATCCAGGCTAGGAGCCATGTTTCGTAGCAGAGGGGGAGTTTCGCCAGCCATGTGAACGGCGGGAAGGGGAGGGGTGGGTATGGAGGGTTCTCGTCCAAAGGACGGTAACCTGTAAAGCGGGACACGCTGCGAGGGAGTTTCTCGCGCCAGTCACGACGGAATTTAAGATGGGATAGGCAGATCCGGGGTGGCGAATATCGGTGTTTTGGTCTGTTATCGTTTGCGGCGGCGTTCTTTTCTTCGGTGTGACCCATACTGGATATGTACAGATAGCAGATAGAATCATAGGAGTTGATAGTGTCTAGTATTCACAAGAATCGGGGTAGTAAAATCGAACAGAAACCTTCCTGGATGAATGGATAAGTTGCAGAAGTACAAATCCTTATAAAAATAACACTAGATATCATGATATCAGGAATATTGGATCGTGCCGTTCGAATGCCATGATTTAGTCACCAGTTCCGCCTGGAATTCGAACGCTCTAAAGTAGACTGAGCAGGATCCTTGCCCAGGTATCGAGCAAATCAACCTATAAACTATAGGCATTCAGTATACATCATATCATGGCACGGAAGAACAGTCCATATCTTTTCGCGCCGGCCGTTCCGTTAGAAGCGGTATTGCCGATGTCATATTAAGCAATACTGAACGGGTTGCTGAGGTCCTGAGACGTATTAAGGCGGGATTGTTAGAGACGATGAAGTGTCCTATTGAATCATTTTGTCGCCACACAAATCGTATGTTCAGGCTACCTGTCATATTATCCGTTTTCATCAAGTCCTGTTATAGATGGAATGTAGGCTTTTTATATGATTAGGAGATAAACGTGGGATGAAGTCCTCCCTCGAACTAGTTAAGCAAGCAGTGTAAATGTACAGGCTACAGTCGCGCTAATTAAGTATTCGTGATTTTTTTTCGCACCACCAAAAATCTAGGTGTTTTTAAGCCTTACTAACCACAATAAAATTAAATAGAATCTCCTGTAAAATAGTATTATATTATATATTGATTAAAGTATATAATGTATTTTTTTAAAATTTTAAATTAAGAGGTTCTTATATTATATAAGTTTAAAGTTTATCCTTAAAAAAGGTATAGTTATATATATTTTAGCCCTTACCTATTATATAAATACTAACCTTTTTTAAAAAAATTTATATATAAAAATTAAAGCTTTTATCTTATATTTTATATATATTTAATAATATAATAGGCTTTATATATAAATTTATTAAATAAAATCTATTTAAAATTAGCTACTTTTATAAAAAAGTAGTAAAAATAGCTAAAAATATAGAAAACTTAACCTTTTTAATTAAGTTTTTCTCGATAAAATTATATATAATATATAATATTTTATTGATTATATTTATAAAATAAGACTAAATATTTAATTTTTATATATAAATTTTTTTATAAAAGTTATTTAAAAAAATTTTATTTAAGTTTTAAAAAATATAAAATTTAATATAAAGTAATATATTTTAAACTATAGAAAATATATAAAAGCTTATATAAATAATTTTTATTATATTTTTTTATAAATATTAATATAATAAATATTTATTTCCTTATTTTATTTTAAGTATATCTCTATTATTAGTGCTATTAAAAATAAATATATTATATAGTTATTTCTTTATAGTATCGAAAACTTTTTATATAGAACTATAAGTAGTTTAAATATAACTCTGCTTTAGTACTTCGGATTTAATATATTAATAATTATGTTTAAAATAATATACTATTTCTATCTGTAAAAGTCTTGCTTAAGAGTAGCTGCTATAGCTATAACTTAAATTACTATATAATAAGACTAAGGTATAATCTATAAACTTATCTTAAAATTTATAGACGTAAGTAAGTCCTATAGACCTTAATATTCTTATAATATAATCTTCTTACTGAGAATTCTTCTAAATATAAATTCTCTATTCTTATAAATAATAGCTATCTATTATACCCTTAGCTCTCTGCTAGAGTATAAGCTTATAGGACTGCAGTAAAGCCCTAAATCTAAATATAATACTAAGGTAATTAGTTAAACCTTACTTTCCCCGCTTTTAGGATTTATATAAGATAAAGCTAAGAAGTACTTAAGATTTAGAATATAAATAAGCTTTAGATTATTATCTTACTAAAAGCTAGCGATTTATTCTAATATAATATATACCTTATTATTTCCTTATTTATATAAACTCTTTATTACTAGACTTTTCTAGCATAAACTATTCTTTATACTAATTAAACTCTTTATTATAATAGTTAACCCTTTATTTTACTAGTAGATCCTTTTTTAAGCTAAGTATATAAAGCTATTACCTCTTTTATTATAATTGCTAATAAAGTAATTTATTAGTAACCTTTAAGAACCCCTATTTTTTATAGTTTAGATTATTTAATCTAGTAATATAAGTAGCTATACTAATATATCCTATAATTTAAAGAATAAGAGTCTTAGCTTTTAGCCTATAGTATATATTTTAAAGGGTTTAGAAATTATTAAACTTAGCTTATAGTAACTAATTACTAAAGCTAGCTTATAAATCTTAAAAGATATTTTAATAGGCTTAAAGAGAGATTAATCCTAAATAAAAAATAATTTATTAATAAAGAGAGACCTTTTATAGCTCTTTACTGCTATTTATATTAATAAGTAATTAAGGCTTAAGCTACTTAAACCGCAGAGGTATAAAGCTATTATATTTAATGCTTATTACTAATAGTACTAGTATATAAATAAATATTTAGCCTATAATACTTTATTATTTAAGATAGAAAATAAGAAAATTATTTATATTATAGCCTTACTAAATAAAGAATTAACTTAATTTTAAATCTATTAGTAAGAGAATCCTAACTTCTAGATATTAACCTAGAGTAGTTTTAAAGGTTAATTATTAAACTTACTTAATAATTTATATTATTAAGAATAGAATATAATAAATTACTTTTATACCTTAATTTAATATTTAAATTAAATTACTAGAGCTTTTCTATATTATTTTAAATAAGCTTATATAAAGTTAAACTAGGATAAAGAATTTAATAATAATAGGATTATTTAGTTTTATATTTTCTATGCGAAACTATAACTTAAAGTTTAAATAGGTTTATTAAATTATTAAGATCTTTTAACTAATCTTAATTAATTAGTGTTTTTAGCTATTAATTAGGAAATAAACTAAAAGAAGAATAAATTCTTAAACCTTCCTATTATATTAAACGCGAGTAGATTAATATAGAGTATATTAAAAAACTTTATTTTAAGATAAAAGAGAAAGAAGATTAATAATTAATATAAGAGGATAAATAAATCTTAAAAAAAGAAGTTTAAATTATTAATAGAATAAAACTAGTTTAAAAAAGAAAGCTATTACTTTAATTATAGTAAAAAAAATTATATATAAGGATTTAAATTATGCCTAAAAAAGAAAGATTCTTTTAAAAGAAAAAAGCCTAAGATTATTATAGCTTTTTATAATAAAGAGTTTAAAATAGATAAAAAGTCTTTATATATTTTAGTATAACTCTATTTATTAAATAATATATTTAAAGATAAGGCTTTTATTAATTTAGGTTTAGCTTAATACTATATTAGCTTAGATATAGCTATATAATATAGAATTTTCTTAGATTTTTAGCAATATATAAACTTTAAATCTATTAATAGGTATAAGATTTAGAAATATAGATTTTTTAAAGTAAAGATCTATATTATTAACTTTAAAAGAATTATAAAAAAAGTAAATATATGCTTTTATATTATCTTAATATTTAGATTATCTATTATCCTTAAGAAACTATAGCTATATATTATAAATCCTATTATAAATTAAGAATTAATAATTTAAAGATATTATATTTTATAATAGCTATAGGTAAAGATTAAAAATATTTAATAATTTTTTAAAATAGTAAGAGAAGAGATAATTTATATACTCTATAAAGATTAAATTAATCTTATTATTTTAAAGAATTTATTTCTAAAATATAAGAAGTATATAAAGGTCTTTTTAAAGAAAAGAGTAAATATATTATCTGCTAAGATAAGTAAATATAAGATTAAACTCCTAAATAATATAGCGCCTTTATAGAAGAAATTTTATAATCTTTTTACTAAAGAACTTAATATTTTATATAAATATTTTAAAGATATATAATAAAAAGAATAAATATAACTATTAATAAGTTTTATAAGGGTATCTATTCTATTTATTCTTAAGGCAAATAATATACTAAGGCTCTATATTAATTATTAAGCCTTAAATAATATTATTATAAAGAATAAATATCTTTTATCTAAAATAAATAAAATACTTAACTAATTAATTAGCTCTAAGATCTTTATTAAGCTTAATCTTAGGAATACTTATTATTAGATTAGAATTTATTATAGAGATAAATAAAAGATAGCCTTTTAAACCTATTATAGGCATTTTAAATATTTAATTATATTATTTAGTTTATGCAATACTTTTACTATTTTTTAAGCCTATATTAATTAAGTATTGCAGGGGTTATTAAATATCTATTATATTATATATTTAGATAATATTTTAATTTTCTCTAACTTTATTAAGAAGTATAAAAGATATATAGTGCAGGTTTTAAAGAGATTATAAAAATATAAATTATATATAAAGTTATTTAAATATAAATTCTATAAAAAAAGGGTTAAATTCCTTAGCTTCTTTATAGGAAAAGATAGAATAAAAATAGATCTTAATAGAATAAAAACTATTAAAGATTAGCTAAAGCCTAAATCTTTTAAAAAAGTTTAAATCTTTTTAAGATTTACTAGATTTTTTAGAAGATTTATTTATAATTACTTTATAAAAATAGCTCTTTTAACTAGTCTATTAAAAGGAAGTATCTAGGGAAAGAAGATTAAAATATTTATTTAAACTAAAAAAGCTGCAAAAGTATTTAATAAGTTAAAATTAGCTTTTATAATTCTACTAGTACTAAAGTACTTTAATTTAAAGAAGCTAATAATATTAGTAATTAATGCCTTAGGATTTACTTTTATTATTATATTCCTTTAAGGAAATAGTAATAAAATAGCTCTAGGCGCTAAATTAAAGATAGGTTTAAGAATTAAAACTTAGATAAATTAATAAACTATATTTAAGAATTAATATCTTATAATATATTATGCCTAGAAGTTTACTAAAATAGAGGTATATTATAAGATTTATAATTAAGAACTTCTAGCTATTATTAATACTTTTAAATATTAGTATTATTATTT